GGAGAAAGAGGTGTCGTGGGAGAGGTGAATGAGTTGGGGGAGAGAGAATTGGAGAGAGAGTTTTTTTTTTTGGGGGATCGTGCCGGGGTGGGGTGTGGGGTGGGGTGGGGTGGGGGGGGGGTCGCTTTTCTTGAGGGACAAAGGGAGAGAAGGAAGAGATTCGATTGTGCCCTAATTTTTGGGCACAGTTAGATTTATATAGGCCTGACAAATACACGGGACTAGCAGTCCCGTGTATTTGCTGGGCCGCCAGAGATCGAAGTTTTTGTTAAACCCACGTGACTAGTAGTCTCGTGGGTTTTGTAATAGTGAACAGAAAAACCACGAGACTACTAGTCTCGTGAATTTTCTGTGTCTTGTTTAGGCCGTGATTAGCAACCACTAAATACACGGAACTAGTGGTCCTATGCGTTTTGAAATTCATATCTAGCAAAATCGACATCTTTTTTGCCAGTCTTAGTCGGCTGACCAAAAAGATGTCGATTTTGCTAAATATTTAACAAAACAATGATTTTTGCCAAATATTTATCAAATTGGGCCTCCTTTCAGAAAAAGTTCTCCAAATATAAAAGTAGTACAAGCTTTTATAGTACGGTTATCACTGCTAATGGCTGGATGGAGTTCCAAAGTTGTTTTCGTCGGAGACTCAGCTATGCATATTAACACGCACAAACCTTTTATAGTTGGGCTTGACGAGGTCCAAGTAAAACGGAGAAAAACAATCCAGATAGGGCTTTGTATGTTTATGGGCTCTGTAGTGTCCTGGGCCCAATTCGATATCAGTAAACCCTAGACCTCAATTTGTAATGTCCCTTGACAGCGGCGGACGGCGATCGAATGCGAGAGCGGCTCCCTGCGAGGTCAACCTTTTCTTCTTACATTTCTGTATGTAATTTAATTCTCCTGTTAAAATTCGATTCCCCCCCGCTAAATACTACAACTTCAATACATAATGAGGAAAATACTAACGATGCAATAAAATTAGCATAGAATGATGTGATGTATGGATATATAACATTGAGATTATTGTTATCGCAAATTTGAGGACTGTTTGTATCATCAAGCCTTAATTGCAGTGGAGATGGGTATGGCTTTATTTGAGAAGACCTCCGGTGGAAATTGTAAGTTTTGGTGCTCGGTGCAAAAGAAAGAGCAGATTCATTGTCCAACAGTATTATGTTATTAGTAACTTAAGATTTAAGAATAGTCCTTTTATCATCAAATTCCTAATTTTAGTGTTGATATGAAGCTGAGAATCCAAGTTACTGGGTTTCCAGCAATTGGACATAAGAATCCTCAAACTTTATATTAGTCTTAGATATGGGCTACACAAGGAGGATGCTTCGGCGCCTCACTTGCATTCAAAAGGTTACCAAGCTAGTCAAATTAGGTAGTACTGCCTTGCTCAACAAATAAGAGGAACTAAAAATTATTATTGCTTTCTCTATGCATAACTTGCCTACTGTCGCTGCTGATCTGTCATTGTGAGCATGGCCTGAACTTCTCTGAAGTTAGAAAAAGAAGCCTTACGTTATGTCCAAATAGGTTATTTACTTAAAAGCCAATTGAATTATGTCAGCGGACTAGATTCGTGTTTTTTGTCTTCATTTTTTTTGGGGAGTCTAATGCAGGTTATTTGCTTCAAGCAAAGCCGATTGAGGGCTTTGGTTCCTTTGTGCTGCTATACAATTAACTTTTAGCTTTCCTGGTTTCATGGGGTGCTTGATTTAGCAAATCATGTTTGAGAATCTTGGATCTTAATTCATAGATAGTGCTTCGTCCTTTACATGCAGCTTGATTTACTTTTAATATTCTAGGTGATTTTTGTATAGAGGCCCTAAGTTTGGAATTTGTGAATCATGGCTCTGTTCTCGACAAGCAGATTATAGGAGCGTTTATGCCTATGCAGTTGATCTAATGCTTATAACAACTAGTGCAGTCTCAAAACACTTGTAACGCTGATCTGGAAGAATCCTGATAGATGCATCATTGCAAGATCTCATCCTCATGGTCTATCTTGGATTCTTGGCTTATGCTCCCTCTACACTCCATTGGAATAGCTTTATATTTTGATGAAGACCAATGATTTTATAATGGTATGAAAATTTTGAAAGAATTGTAACAATGGCAATGAATAGTTAAGAGAGAACTCACAGTTTCATCGTGAATGCAATTAATTTTGTTTGGAATCACCACAAATGGGGTTTATTTACTAAAATTTTGTATAGATTGTCAAATTTGATGCACCATTAGCCCCTTGCTACCTCAAGTTGGTTGCAAGGAAAAAGCGAGAAGGTAGAAGGTGCTACATTAAATTGGCAGAAGTTTCATATCACGGGGGCAAAAGGAGTTGTTTGCCTTATTTTGTATTATCTGTCAGACAATATTTTGTTTTGTTTTGTTTTTCATATTGATTGGCGATGCAAGCCATGCAGTTCATGAATGTTTAGTTTAGCTCCTTTATTTCAAATTGACATGGAATATTAAATATTATACACAAAAAGATAGCTAAGGTCCATTTACTGTAATTGACTGATTTATTACCAATCTAGGTTTTTTTGAGAGAACAGAATACAAACAATGATTTTCAAATGACTTCTTTTTCATCATTGACATTGATGCACAATTAGCCTGTTGCTACTTCAAGTTGGTTGCAAGGAAACAATGAGAGGGTATAAGGTGCTGCGTTAAATTGGCAGAAGTTTTGAATCATGGGGTTGAAATAAGTCGTCTGCTCTATTTCGTATCTTTTGTCAGATACTTATTTGCTTTCATTTGTTTATTTCGCTTGTGGTGATGCAAGTCGTGCAGTCCATGAATATTTAGTTGCACATCTATATTCAAATTGACTTGGTATGTTAAAAATTACAATCACAGGAAGATAACTACTGTGCATTTACTGTACTTGACTAATTTATTACCTAATTTATTTTTTGGAGAAAAATAATATAATAATATTTCAAATGACTTCTTTTCATCATTATGAGCCGAATTTTGTGTAATAAAGAGCCATAGGTACATGTCCAATATTTGTTTTGTAGTTGGACTTTGAAATTTATGAACAATTCATCTTAGTGTATTTGGCTATTTATTTTGAGTCTGTATTCATTTGACCTAGTTAATTTTGTGTTTCACTGCAACATCATGATTGTGAATGATACACAAGCAAGGAACTAAATTAGGTATGTTAGCGAGCATATAGTAGGTATCACTCTCTTCTCTCTTGTTTTCTTTATATCAGATCGCACTACACAGACTATTTCAATGGTAGCAGATGTTTTCCAAGGCTAGGTTCTTTTTATTTTCGAATTCTTTTCCTAAAGATGCTTTTTAGGCCAAAACTTGTCTTATTTTCAGTTTATCTTACAATTAACGGCTCCTGTCTATTTTATATAGATGGAACATTCCTCTTCCATTTCTACTAGGTTAGGACTCCTAAGCCTAGTTAGATGACATCCAATATCTTTCAATATTTCTCAAAATATCCTCAAAAGGCCTTCGAAGTCCGGATTCCAAATCTTACCCAAATTGGTTTTAGTTGGGTTTGTAAGTTCTGACCGGATTTGGGCAGATTCACACTTCTAACTTGCTTTCCTCATATTTCCTTGATCTCGAACCGTTGTGTAGAAATTAGACTAGAAATTAGACTCTTCATATGATAATGTTCCAGGGGGCGCTGGTTCGTACTGAAATTTTCTCTGTGCTCCCAGTATGTTTTGCAGAAGGTTGTTACTCTTTCCTGACTGCAATAATTTCTTCTAGTTAGATTTTGCAGGATAGAGATATGGGTTCAATACTGAGAAAAGCAATTGCTCAGAAGTCACAAAATTTACAGATTAAATCTGAAAAAGAACTTCTTTGGTTACAAAGGCAGATTGTATGTAAACAAGTTGATTGTACTTCCAATCTGTTCTCTCGGGTCCAAGGGATGATGCTTGGAACATTTTTTGCAAGGAAGCGAGAGGGAGGCGGATTCTTTACTAGTAGAGGAAATTTCTCATCTTTCTTACCTATTCTATGTTCAATGTCAGGTCAACATTATGTATATACCACTCGAGGAACTTGTAAATTTTGCTGACTAAATATCTATATATTTAATCGACAAAGGAATGTATTCTGTGTATTTTTCTTCAAATTTCTTCATTATCAACATGATCTGGATTGTTGGTTTTTTCAGATAACGTTCTAGTGGCAGTTGCTTAGATATGTATTGACATTGAAGACACAAACTGCTGAAATGTTTTTGTGAAGTAAGCATAGAATTATGGTTAATTGAAATTGAAGAATCAAATTTCTAGTTGAGGATGAAAAGGGTCCTTTGCAGGTTATCCTCCGGAATGTAAACATGCCAGTCCTTTGCTTTTAGCTTTATGATTTGAAATAGTACTTACCATGTTGCTGATGAGTGCATATGTTGTTTTGAAGATGAAATTGACTGTTGGAATTATATATCGATTTTGTTTTTTTTTTTCCTTTTTTTCCTTGGTTAAACAACATGATCTAAGCATTTCGCAGGAAAAAGAAAAAGAAAAAAAGAAACCCGCAATCTAAGCTGAATTCATATCAAGCGACTGAAAAGGGTTTTCCAAATTGCTGTTAATTATATCCAATATTTCAAATTTCTAGCACCCTTTATGATTTAAGGATCAATTTCTTAAACTGATGTCTTTGGAGGTTAATTTAAACACCATAGGTTTGAGAACAAAAGAAGATTGATACTAAAGATTTGTTAAACGTTAAAAGGTTAGTCTTGTGAACATAAAGATTAAAAGATTAAGAAACTACAACACCCAAGATTGTAGGGTCATTGATGGCTCATCAACTTTGATAATAATCAAACAAATGACCCCAAACTTTTGTGTGTAGTGGAGTAGGAATAGTTTGAAGAGCGTAATTTAGACAGAATTATCCTTCCCGGATTTCTTATCATCTCCATATCTCCACTTTTAAACTAGCATTAGCCTCTACTCAGATACTAACATAAAAGTAAACATATAGCATTTAGTTACTGAAAAAGTAGAAATATATAGCACGATTAAAACGAGGGAGCAGAAAACAGGGCATAAAGTTTACATGAAACTGAACTGAGTCATCAAATACAAGTATAAACATAGAATATAGCACAATTAGCACCAGACAGCAGAACGAGCAACAAGCTTTAGCTAAAATTTCCACACAGTTTACCCATCGATTAAGCTGAACTTCCCAGAGTCACAGCATGCCACTTTGTTTCTTCATGAAAACAGACTTAACGCACCATTTTTTGTGGCAGGCAAACCAAATTTGTTTAAGATTAACCAGGGCCAACTTTGGGGATGTCATAGTGCTCGCTCATATTCGCCAAGTACTGATTAAAGTCCTGAATCCGATCACGGTGAGATTTATTAGCTGTCTTCGCCAGCCTTTTCGAGTCTATCCTCTCCCTCTGTTCAATATAGCGCCTCTCAGCTGGCGTTAGATGTTCATGATATGCTGGCGTTTGTCCTTCTTCATCTCCCTCTTCTTTGTCGTTGTCAGCTTCTATGATGTCTTTGCTTGGATCACTTTGTAGTTCAGAGCTCCCCCCTGAAGAAAACCAATAAGACATTATAGATACGGACAAGCAGGTTGCAGTGGCTATGTTTAGATAAAGATTTGAGTATAGTAACAACCCTCTTGAAGCTCATTTCTTTCGATTTCAGATCTATCATCATGATGGCGATGCTTGTTTTTCTTTTTCTTCTTTAGTCCACCAGCCTTGACGTTCAAAGCCTTCCCTTTCAGCTTTAGCTTCCCGCCAACAACATTATCAAATGTAGACATTTATCTAAGAAAATAAGAAATTTTCTTTCAAATAGGGAATGAGAACCCATACTGATATGACTTACATCTTAATTTATAGAAAGGTCAAAAAATTCCTAGAAGAAATTAATAAGGGTCTGAATGGGTTCCTTTAAGATGAATACATTCTCCATTCTGCATCAAATTTTTTGGCTAGATAAACAAAAATACCATGAAGTTTCCCATTTTGACAATTAATACCACAAGTGGAATTTTGGTACAATAAAACACCACAAAGTTTCCAAAACTTGCACGTTACTAACATAGATCATACAAACGTGGAAATTTTCACATGAATGTTTCTCTACAATACTTACATGCTAATTTTAGAGCTTTTAACTAATAATATTTGCTAAATTTCCTATTACATCAACCAGATTTCTTTTTGAAACTTATATTAATTCTACTCTAAAGTAGAGTTGTGATATTTCTAATGAAAATTTTAATAACTATTAATGGTTAGAAAGCTCTAAAATTAGTATGTGTCAGAGAGAACATTCGGGTGAAATTTTACGCGTTTGCATGATCGATGGTAGTCATGTGCAAATTTTGGAAACATTATGGTATTTTTTGTACCAAAATACAACTTGTGATATTAATTGTCAAAACAGGAAACTTTATGGTATTTTTTTAACATTTTTTTGTTTATTTGATGACTTGTGAGGACTTTAAATAATAATAATAATAATAATAATTCAATAAAACAGCAACATCTGCATCTACGAGTGTTTTATCTACACTAATGAGATACTAGTGCATCATGGGAGAATCCAACCAAACAATATCCACAGATTCTCAGGTACTCGTAGCTCCTAAAACCCTATTACCAATTACAGATATATTCGTTTCATATATGCAAATGAGACCAAGAAATTAAATTGAAATAATCTCATTTAAAATATAAAAGTGAATATAAATTGACTGACAAGTTAGAATGCATACCGTACGTCAGTTGCTTAAGAAATATCAATGGTCACAAAAAGTTATTAATTACCATGGAATGGATCTAGGATAAGAAACTTGTAGAAAACTAGAATGAAGGATGGAGGGAGGGATGGGGGAAGAGAATGAGGGAGGGAGGGATACGGGGAGGGGTTGAGGGATGGATATTGGGAGGGATTGAGGGAGGAAAATGTATACAACTCATCAATTTAAACAGGGTAGGTATCATGTCAAAGTCAAACTCAATAACCGTTATATTTTTTAGGAGAAATTTTTAAAATAATCCAATTTTAAGATTTAACTACAGAAATCGACCATGTTTTTATTTAATTACCATTTTCAACCAACTTTGGCAACGTCAGCCAATCCCGGGCAGTTACCTATTTAATCATGTACTAATTAGAGATGCGATCACTAGATATTACGTATCTCTTTTGGGAAAAAGTCTAAGGACAATCGCGAATACTGGGGAATCGTTGGGTTTAGGGTTGGATTAAGGGTTAGTTTTAACTAGTATTGAGGCCCGTGCAAACCACGGCCTGGTAATTTTTGTATGCATATTTATTATTGGGCCTTTATAATTTGCTTTGGGCCTCTTCCAACTCTTTATTTTTGGAAGTTATTTTTATTTAGGCCTCTTAGATGGGATTCCAATAATTACTTGTTCATATATTTTCATTGTACCATATTTATCAATTAAAGAAAATTTTACCTTCTTTAGTTGATTTCATTGGTTAGATGGTTCACTGGCAACCGGTCTTTTCTACCATTATTGTGCATATGAGTATGGAAGAAATAACTTATTTCTGCTTTTTTTAATTACTTTTGTTTACCTATTATCAGGAGTTTAATTTGCGCAAGAGCATTACTAGTTGGGTTTAGGGTTGGATTAAGGATTAGTTTTAATTTGAGACACGTCCCTTTACTATGGCGAATGATAGCAGCAATCGTGTTCCGTGACTGCCGCAAGAACTCCACTTTGGAATTAGAGAAGATGAGATTTGAAGTGGTTAAAAACACATCACATCTTCCTAATTAAATATATCCTAATCAATCAATTCACAATAATCTATAATTAAAACAATCCTTATCGAATCATAACTATCTATAATTAAAAATCAAACTCAAATTATACATAATTAGAAACTACCATTGTAATCAGTTTGTTGGCAATCTAATCAAATCATAACTATCTACAATAAAAAGCTAATAATCAGATATTTCTATTCTTACAAAATCCAGGTATTTTTCCGATCTAATAATTAACCGGACATTCCTATATGTTTTGTAATTAAGTTGTTAACTACGTAGATATGAGATTTTCAGAAATCAAGCGATTTTTTGGTTGACATGGCAAAAATTGGTTGAAAATGGTAAATAAATAATTAAATAAAAACATGGACGATTTCTATAAGAAAATCTTCAAATTGGATTGTTTTAAAACAATTTGTCCTATGCATGCATGATAATGATACATTCACAGAAATTTTGATGAGGTTGCTACTACTGTTTTTATTCCGCATAACTTTCCGGCGCATATGCAGATGTGACTGCATAAATCACATAGATAAGAATACTTATTTTGCCATACCATTAAGTTGAATCTTCATGCAGGCATGTAGAGGTCAAGGGTTCAAATTCAACTGAAGTCAGGTTAACGTCTTCATATCAAAGGGAAAAAATGTAGCACACCAATGCATTCTCTAGTTATAGTCTTAATACTTCAAATGTTATCAACAATTTAGACCTACTGTTACTTAATTGTCCATAACATCAAATTAAAAGTCCTATTGTTATTCTATCCGAAACAAAAAAGGTCCTATTGTCATTAACTGTCCACAATTTCAAATTTAAAAGGATAGTACTCTTTGATGGTGCATCCCTATTTTCTTGTATCCTAGCTTCAAGATTCTCCAGCCACCATGTCCATATTGGTATGTCCTTATATCCATTCAAACTTATATGAAGTAAAATAACATAATCAAATATAACCCAACACCAGCAAAACATCCATGGTAGCATTCTACCTTCACCAAGGAGAATGGATATGAATATTGAATAACATTGAAGACTAACGTAAACGAAGCTAAGAAAAAGCAATATGAGATGAAGGTATAAACATCAACAAGCTGATGCAAAGCATAACATGACATGGTTTACCAACAAACAAAAAAAATACTTAGAACATATGATACAAGAATGATATGATCATGCTTAGCATGCATCCAACGCAAGTTGGCCACCTGGTGGAGATAATGTCCAGCCACCAAGTAGCAACGAAATACCTCACGCAAAACTTCAATTGCCTCCAGATCCTAGAACCAAAGGTAACTTATATTTTTCCCAATTAAATATTGAGTTAGATATTAAAATATGAAAGTAATCCGTCTCAGTTGCCATAGGAGAACATGTCCTCTAATGAAAATCAGCTAGTCTACTCTCAATCTCTTGATTTCATGATTGGTACATCCATCCTGATATCCATGTTGATGAATATGTCCTAACCTATGTTGCAGGGGTACGGGATATGGCAAATCTGTAAATTGTAAGGGCTTATATATATATAATATATATATATATATATAATATATATATAATATATATATATATATATATATTTATATAGTATATATATATATATATATATATAATATATATATTATAATAGGAGAAAAAAATTATTGTTATATTTCTTTCAGCGTCAAGATTATAAATGAGGAACTAACTCGAAGTGCACATTGCAGGTGATGAATTAATAACCCAGATCATAATGAGGAACTATACCCAAAATGTTGCCACTAGTATCCCAAAAAAACTACAAATATTCCCCCAAAATACTACAAGTTATTATGTCTTGCATAACCATACGTAATCAAATATTCCTTTCAGACTTTCAGTCATTGATTAAATTGACTGTAATCAGATATTTTACACGAAATATAACCATACGTAATCAACTATTATGCAATCTTAATCTTTGACTGTAATCAATTTCCAGAAAATATAATCAATGATTACATTGAGGATTATATGCTATGAACAGTTAAATAACAAACCTTAGCTGATCAACTTCAAAAAATCACAGAATACAAAACAATAAGGCTGAAAAACCAAAAGTAAGGCTCAAATCTAACAAAAATTGATTTTAAAAAAATTCAGATCTAACTGAAATCAAAACAACAACAAGCCCTAAAAACTAACAGTAAGTACTTAACAACCAAGAAATTGATAAAGAAAACAAACTTTAACTCTGATATTTTAACAATAACAAAACTTAAATGACAAAAAAGCAACCATGAAGAACAAAAACAAAACGGAAAAAACTTATTTAAATATTTAATTAGAAAACTCTAAAAAAACCCTAAATCTTCAAAAGTTTTAACTTACCCTTGATCTTCTTGAATCTTCTCTCTAGCACCAAGCCACGACGAGATCATAGGCTTTGAGAGGCTGCGGAGAGGTGAGGAGCTTCGAGAGATCGGAGGACAGAGAAAGAAGTGGAGTTCTAAAAGATCATATACTCCATACTCCCTATAAAAGCACGAGTTCGAAAAAATCTTTCGGTAGACAAAAATACCCTTTGAATTCAAATATTATTCAATTAAGTAAGAGTAAGTTAGATAAATTGATGAATTCTTATTAGATATACATAGTATGAAGATAAATATATGGTTTAAATTGAAATGTAAATCTAAATAAAATTATTAAATGCTAAATTTACAAATCTACAAAATGAAAGGCGTATTTGCAAAAACTAAATAAATTAATGAGACAAATAATATCTACCCCAAAAGTCGAACCCAAGAACAACGTAAACCTACAAATGTACATAATATAGATGAGATATTTTACAAAAGCCACCTAACAAATTAAAGAGACAAAAGTCATTCAAAATTATGAAAAATAAAATTAAGAAAAACAAAAATCATATCATACTCCATTTAAAAGTACGAGTTCGGGAAAAGCTTTCCATAGTCAATGTTACTCTGTACTATTTTAAATTTCTAATTTATATTATAATCTATCTTAATCATACTTATATCC